ACCGATGACCAACCCGGCTACAGCATCAAAGGCTCTCATTCTACCCCTAACATATCCTCAGTGAAGATGACTGTAAACGGCTGGTCTGCATTAAAATATCTCGGATTTGTTCATACTAATTATCGCTTTGCACACGAGCTTTCCAGTCGTGGATGTAGCAGATCAATCTTCAACGGACTTCAACGAACCAGTGTGCCCTTTCGCCAGTGATAGGCCCACCGCTATCACTCTTGGACCCACAAACGAATGGAATAACGTCCAGAGCCAAAGAGCATGGACCAGTGGTGGGTTTTTGTTAAGAGGAGAGGTCGGGATGCGAAGAAAATGCGCCAACATAGGCAACAAAAATTGATTATTGGAGACTCGGGTTTTCAATGACCCCTGAACGGGTGGGCGATTTATACCCTCCGTGAATACGAACTATCCGCCGTAGAAAAAGCAATATTGAACAATACAGCTTATTAGCGGCGAGCAAGGCTGATTCCTCAACCAAGAATCACACCTTCCCTCAACTTTTATAATTCTACTACAATATAATGAATGTTGGTATCCATATCGGATGTGTGTGAATGACACAATTCTTGAGGGTTGAATTGTGCTGTGAACGCGTCCTTGAAACGAACGATACTCATTGCGGTCTCCCGCCGTTGAGGTAACGCGGCCGAGGCGAGTCGGTCTGTTGACCCTGTGGATGGCACCCACCGAAAATTTGGCATTGACATTCCAGCTCTCGCAAAAGAGCGGGCGTGGTGAACAATAACAAATAACAAATGTAGAAATCCGCAGGAGAAGATTACAACCTTAATGATTCAGCGCGTGCTTTGATCTTCGTTAGTTAACTAACTCTAGTTAGTTCAGGCTGTTTTTGTATGTACTATCGGATGATACCGAACGTAAGCGTCCGTACGGACCATTGAACTACCCTCAGCGAACTGGAAGGATTTCTCAACCGGGTCCATCACTTAAATCAAAACAATCCTTTCCCAATTGAATGCTCCATACACTGCCACCCTTGTCCGACCAAAAATTGTCGGAGCAGCTGAACGGTTCTGCGCTGGACCTTTTCAGGTTGGTAGAGTGGGGCCGGCCGCTGACGTTGCCTCGCCACAATTCTACATGATCAAGGTGCGGAGAAAGGCAATTAAGCTACTTCAGACGCCAAAAACAATCCAAGCTAGGCATTCTCAACCTTTTCACGTATTTATTGCCAAGCAGTTCGTTTGCTGAAGACTGGGAGAATTCAGTGGAACTGGCCCAAGAGCCTAGATGAAGTTGCCCCAATGTCCGGGCCATTTTCCCGACCAATCACATGATTTCTGATAAACCAGATTTTTAGAATAATGCTGTCACATTGCATCAGCCAGCCAATAAGAAGCTTTTGCCGTCGGTACTTTCCTTAAGCTGTCAGACATGCCATCCAAATTAGATACTGGTAGTAAGCCCCAGTCCTCAATGTTCTTCATCAAAAGAGAAATGCAATTGTTCAACCATGCTTCATACCGGGCGTGGCCTCCGCAACTTCTCCCATCAAAGATCAAATACCTACTATACTTATGCCCAAGACCGGGCGATACAGTTGTTATAGTTGTGTCTGGCCAACTGATACTCTGTGTGTGTGTGTGTGTGTGTGTGTGTGTGTGTGTGTGTGTGTGTGGTTTCAATTACACTGACCCCTCGCAAAAGTTGGATTATAAACCATAGCCCGCTAGGCTAGGTACGGATTCGTATTTTGGCCTAGTTGGGTAAACCATCTTTGGCGAGGGGTCAGTGTAAATGATATCACACACACTCTCTCTCTCTCTCTCTGTACAAACGGAGGCACTTCTCTGTATCTCCGGGGGCGCTCTGTACCGGGCGAAAAATTGTCGAACTAATAACCGAAGATTCGAAGACGGAGGACCTCTGTGGTTGTTGAGATTACAGCGGTATAAAAATTGCAACGTTGTGTGCCACGCGGGAACCAACCCCTGACCTACGGCGGACCCGCCCGCGCCCAAGATCCCTCCCACAAACACGCAAGAAACCATCGCTGGCTTCACGGTGGACGACCTCGAAGCCAGAACCACCGTCGAGAACCGGAAGCGAACCCGGAGCGGAGATACCTTCGCTCCATAGGATCCAGCCGGCCGAGTCACCACCAAGGAGGTGTGGTAACTGATCGGCACACTGAAGGGCGTCCGTCATCCGACACCAAACTGCGGCCATCACAGCCACCCAGAACGAACTACAGGAGATCAAACACAACCAGAACGTCCTCCAGGAACAGAACGAGAAGCTCCATGAGGAATTGAGAGCGCTACGAACACAGGTTGGAAACGCCTCAGCAGCAGTGACCGCGACTAGGACCTGGGCGGCAGTCGCAGCCCACCGCGGCAATGCCATGCCCTTGCTGAACAACCAACAACCGGAGAAAGAGCACAACTGCATCCGAATCAGCACCCAGAGAACCTTTGTCGACCCAAGAGACAATGAAAACAGCGGCGGAAACGCATTCGGACGATATCTCCCCATCGATGCCGTCAACACCCACATCCGCACAGCATTGCAATGCGACGTTGCAACGCAAGACGCCCAAGTGGCTGGCATTGGCACCATCAAGACCGGGTATCTGATTCGCTTCAAAGACACGGAGTCGGCTGAAGCAGCGCACAATAACACGCAGTGGCTAGATCAACTGGGCAACAACACAAAGCTGGTCAAACCACGATTTGGTGTTGTAGTACACCGTACCCCGACCGAGGAATTTGACCTGGAAACAGGGGCCATCCAGGCAGCGGAGAAGATCATCAACGATAATGACCTGGCGGAACACGGCTTCCACATCGACGAACTGGCCTGGATGAAAGCGAAGAATAAGGCTTTGGGGAAGTTCGCATCATTGGGAATCCGGTTCGATTCCGCAGAGGGAGCAGAATACATGCTGCAGCCAGCACTACATTCCTCATGTTGAAAGCCGCGAGATCAAGAAAAAGAGATGTTTTCGGTGTCAACGATTTGGACACTCTGCATAGACGTGCAAGGAAACGCCGCGATGCGGACATTGTGCAGGGCAGCACGAACGTGAACGATGCCCACCGGGAGTGAGAGCGCGGTGCCTGGATTGTAGTTGCGAACACCCGACTGGCGATCGACAGTGTCCGGGACCAGCGACCTCCAACCCCACCAGATGCTAGAGAGAAACCTCCGTATCCTACAGTTGAACATGATGAAATCGGGGCCGAGAACGCAGGGATTGATCAACGACCCTCAAGGCCAAGATCTGGATGTTCTTCTGATCCAGGAGCCCTCCATCACTACGTACCGCACGCATGTCAATCACAGCGCCTGGCGGCTATATCAACCTACCACACAATCCGATGCCGTTCGGTTTCGCAGCCTGATCTACATCAACAGACGAATCTCCACCTCCTCACACCGTCAAATGCCTTGCGACCACCCAGATGTTGCAGCCATCAAGATCTGGACATCTAACTCTCAAATACTTCTCTTTTCTATCTACATACCCACCCGTCCCGTTCTTCACCGGCGATGACGCATCGGCGTTACCAGCCCTCGCTGCAATCCAAAGCTCCATCGCAGCTGCTACATAAAACGAGCCACGGCCAACTAGTATCGTTGTGTCTGGCGACTTCAACCGACACCATCCAATGTGGGGCGGCAGCCATATCCCACCCAGGTTTATCGAAAACGCCAGCGACCTCATCGACTTTTTCCAGATTCACAGCCTCTAGAGTTGCCTCCCCCGAGGCACGGCAACCTACTGGGCCTTAAATAACCCCGAACAAAACTCGACCATCGATCAGACAGCGACAGACAGCCCGGACCTGCTCGTCAAATGCCACCTCTATTACGAGAGCTACGGATCTGATCACCGCGCGACTCACTCGGAAACTCGGAATGGAACCTGCAGCGCTAGAGGTACGAAAGTGAACAGGCCGCCATACTTGTGAGAGTCCGCTGCCTTGGGGACCCTGAAAGCAGCGATGGGACCTCTGGGAAATTTCCAATATGCAAGTGTGGAATTGGGGGTTTGGCACTGATCCCTATGAATGTGCAATTAGGAAAGTCCGAATTTCTGGGAGATAAATGCAGCGAGCGGAGTGGGAGGTGGGCAAAAGAGGATAGACGGACGGGATTGATCATAATAGACCGTTAGCGCAACACAGAAATCGGCTCCCGGTTTACTAGCACCAATACTACATGCTGATTTACCCTTTCACCTAACTTTTGAACATATTTTGCTCTATCGGTTATGATCGATCTGTTATCCCTATATTCTTTCGCCCCTCCAAATACTCCAATCCGTTAACACAGTAAATAAACGCACCTAATGGCGTACCTGATTGCACATTTCATATTGCACACCTATAGCAAGCGAACTTGCGCACCTTTTTGTATACCCCTAAAAGTCAAACCGATAAAAAGCCGAAGAAATAGTTCTTCAAATCGATCGCTGCTAGTAAATCATACTATATTCACCACTTCAACTTGCTACTCGCAATCCTGGGGTTGAGATTGCCCAATTAAAAACTAGTTGAATACGGTTTTGTTTAATTGGCGGGCCCACTTTCTTTTGACCAACTTTTGCTCGTTTTTAACTAAGTTTTAAACACTTGTTACTTTGGAACTTTTTGCTAGCTTGCTTTTTTCGCGCCTTTTGCGCCTATCTTTTGCGCCTATTCTGCAATACGTCCTAGTCTCTGATCGCCATTTTGATCACCAGAATCTCGGGCTTGCCTGTTTGCGCATCCATAGGGAGCAATGCCAAAACTCGAATTTCACATTTGCATATTAGAAATCTCCCAGACGTCCGTCCCATCGCTGCTTTCAGGGTCCCCGAGGCAACGCACTCTCACAAGTATGGCGACTCGTGCACTTTCACAAAGTTGCTCAACAGCCAGTCACACTCTTTGATCATGCATCATTCTGTCAATGCTGAGTCTCAGACGCCTGCCCTTATCGGCATCGAAAAGAGAGGCTCAAATTTCGAACCATATTTGGGGCCTTGGAAACCGATCTGTCCCACCACCGACCCCGGCACCGTATTAAAAAGCGCGCACAGGTCATACCGAAGGGTACCTTGACCATCAATTTTTGTACGGAATCGAATGACATTGAGCCACTTAAGTCCTCCCAGGATTGATATTTCATGATTTTCCACTAGCTATCCTACCATGTATTATTTCACACGTGAAACTGTGAAATTCGGAGAGTCGGCTCTCTTCATTTGAGCTCTTCAATCAAAGACACGGGCAGCCGCAAAATTTCACAGACAAAGTGCGGGGGTCAAGCTGAGCCCAGCCCACACCAAGAGACTTCGAACTGCACCGTTTGAATTTGTCACACGGACAAGAAATGGGTACGTCACTTCCCAATCAGCAATTAAACGTTTTCCCTCGTTCGCTTTTTTGGTATGACCTTAATCCGTGGCCCCGATCGGGAGCCATGACGCATGGGACGATGTGATGGACTTGGGGTTATTTGTCGAATCGGTACTATTGAGCTGCGCTGACCGCGAATGAAATCATCGTGGTGATAGGCACCCCCGGTCTTGTGGAATCCATAGTAATATAGCCGTCGAATGAGTGAATCATAGCTCTTGGTGGAAAGCTTTTCAAGCAAAGGCATCGGGAACTCGTTCCATAGACTAAGAGAAATAGATCGCCCATCATCTGACCAACGCATCGCTGCCGCATTATCTGGATCATCAAGGATACTTTTCGAAATTAGCGAAGCGATTTCGAAGGGAACATGGAAAGATTTATTGGACTCACTCGCTCAAGCCTTGGATAAAATCTGATTTGTGTAGCCTAATCCCCTGACTGGCAGAGTCCTTGGCCTGTGGGCTCGCATGCTGTCTGTTTATTTCCACAGTGGAACCAACTGTCATTCCACTTGGGCGTTGTTCATTGGTGTTTGATTGCACTATTTGATCATTGCTTAGATCACGAATGTCTGTACGTGGGGAAGGTCGATCTTTTTGACTCGTCGCCTCTTCTTTTGAAGCACTGGCGCCGTCGGTGTGTCCGTCGAGTGGACTGTTCCGTGCAACGACTGGTTCCGGAATTTCTGCTTGAGTGGTAGCAGGGTGTTGGTCTTGATACAATTGAGCAACGACATCGCGATGATTTGTAAGGGCTTCTTCAATTACCGACATATTATTCAAGACTGAGTGGACGACATTAGCGTCCCATACGTGACACAGAGCGAAAAAATGCACCCTTACCTTGATGCAGTACCTGCCGAGTTTCCTTGATCTCCTGTAGCGTCATCTCGCTAGATCGAAGCTCCTTTGTGCAATCACCTCTATCTGGCCAGGGGTTCAGAAAGCGCCATGGCGCCCCCGACCTGAGCAGTTCTTGGTCGTCTTCTGCAAGCTCAACCAAGGACTCTCCGATGCGAAGCGTTGAGGAGCCATCGAAACGAGGGCCAACAACGAGGATGATTGTGGTCCACGTCAATTGTGGTCCGTCCAGCATCCGGGGCAATGGGGTTTTGAAGATGGTCTCCAATCTTTGGCTCAGATGAATGCTTGCCAGCTTTTCTCCGCGGCAGAGAGCAATGCTACCACCGCTATCCAATACTGAAAGGTAACATTCTAGCTCGGCCGAGAATTGCAAAAGGGACATATCGGCAAAGTGAAGAGGTCTCAGCGCCTTATCATGGCGGCGGGTGATAAAATCACTCAGCTGGTTAGATATGGTTAGACACGGTTCATTGAAGATTTCGCGATTGGCAGACATTTTGAATTGAGCTGAACGCGTTTGAGAACCCCTAGTTAGGAAAACAAGAAAAATGGGGAGCCTCGAAAAATGAAATCGGGTAAACTTGTTCCCGTATCTTTACGTGAATTGATGGGGAAAGATTGAGGATGACTCAGCCAACAAACTCGACGTGCATGTGATTGCCGTAAAAGTAACCATTGCTGTCAGACGCGACGCGCAAGCGGAGGGGTTTCCACGACGCGTGATTGGACACAACCTGGGGTTCAATTGGTCTGATCGGAGTAAATGTCTGCCTTCTATTTAGAGACAACCAAGAGCGACAAACCCGAAAGACGGCTGCACTTCCGCCAGATAGATTTATAAAAATGAATTTGGTGTTGTCACTGATATTAAAGCAAGATATGGTCTGTGGAATACGGTACAGCTGTACCGAGAGATTCATATGGAGGAAGGAATGACGGGTGACTAACAGCCTTGATACTCTGGCTAGTTAACTATGTGGACACGTCCAGATATCGGATCATTTCAGACCAAATTTGGCCCAGTTCAGTACAAGTTGAAGCGGTGACGATGGTTGTGGTTGTTGCCGTAGTCGTACACATAGTTGAAGTTGGTACACAAAGGCAGCTTATATTCCATGTCAGCTTCTTAACGGTTTTAAATACTTAGATGATCAGGAAGAGACTTACGACGACGTAGTTGATGAGACTGGTTTGGCGGTGAATAATATCCTTGAGGCTGCCGATAAGCTTCCACACCTCTCTGGTGGTGATCCAGCCTGTGCCTTCGGTGGGCGTGTAGACTTCGCCATTTCTCAGTCTCTTTCCTATAATCTGGGCTGCGTCGATTGACACTCGAAGCTGGAAGTCCTTAACTCAGAAACTGGTGATGTACGGTGGACGGGGCAACTCGAGAACTTGTCGTAGTTAACGAATGGCCCCTCAGTTTTGCCAGAGCCGATAACAAGGGGCAAGCATCCATTGACGAAGGCGCACCTTGATGTGACACACGATCCACGGAGCAGCCACATAGCAAAGCAATCACTGTTTGGAAGCGACAGACATTTCAGCCCGTAGCTGAATATGAGGAGACCACCCTAATGACTGGTCGCCTAGTATTCTCTACATCAAAAACCTGGGCATGATCCAACTGTTCATACCATAGCAGCTCCAGCCCGTACCCAATCCAGGACCTGTTTTTCCATGCTCGTGTTGCTTCTTCCTCACCTGTCTGGGCTTCTGATGATGAACCCATCAAGTACAGTCCCACCGCTTCGGCATCAACAATCAAATCCTTACCACTCAAAACAACTGTAACATTTCGACCCTCCTGGTTCTTTCCGCCCTTTATCCCGAGATCCTCCTTCCAAATGATGTTGTCGGTCCAGGAAAATCTCTTTGCCAACGTATGCGCGACGCCTAGATCTTTAGTTCCAAAATACCAAAGCTGGTATTCATTGGCCCGTGCTGGCCGACGGGCTATGAAGTTGTATGCCACGTCAGGTAGATGGAGGAGGAATGAGACGGGATCAATAAAAACCGTAGGTCCGATGAGCGCCGCAATCTGATCGGACTTAAGAAGGTGTGCAGCGATTATGGAGCCATAAGAGTGAGACACAAGTACAAATTTGCACCATCCGTGATACTGCAAGATCCCCATGATCTCCATGATCATAACATCCTTTTCCAGAGCCGGATGAGTTATCCGAGAGCTTATCGGCATGACTTCAAGTGCGATGATGCCAACCTCATTATCGGCGGTCGCCCCCGTCTCTAGTTCCCTATCGAGGTCTCGGAGGAAGGTCGTGTAAGGGTATAGACCAATTCCGATACCATGTATGAATAGCACTGGTAGCCGTTCCTTGGATGTATGCCGTCGATGCCAGTATGTGAGATGCCGCACTGGGGATCGGTAGGCCGTGAGCATCGTGAGAGGGCGAAACGGAAAGACGGTAAAGAATCGCGAGAGCGTGCTGCGATGGAAGTGGTATCCGTCGTGTAACATCCTGCAGTACATTATAGTGTCAACCGCAGAGACACACTAGGCGAAGTAAAAGTCAGCCTGATAGAGTTCCATTGCTCGGAGAGAAAGAGAGAGAGAAAACTAACAGTGTACCATAGCAGGCTACGATGTGAACCGCCTGCTTCGTTTAGAAGCTGACCAAGACCTTTCACATTCATTCTTCCCGGTGACAGCTTTCTTCCAATCAGCTTCTCAATTTCTGTTGTATAGGCCTCGATTTCCCCTTCATTCTGTTGGTCCTGCTCACGCGTATACCCGGGTCTGAAAAATGCCCACCTGATAAAGTCTTCCACGTTATCGCGCTTGATGCATGTAGCTTCTGAGACCATAAGCCACCGGCTGAGATAATTTTCCACGTTTGGTACGTTCGCGTTGCAACTTCTAAATAATCTCTCTCTGCACTTCGGGGATAGAGGCCTATGGTAGATAGGAGAATGGTTGAGAGCGTGATTGAGTGGTATGAAGACTGTGATGAAAAACACTGTCTCTGCAGTAAGCCAGACATGGATAGGGTAGGGTATGTATTCGAGATAACTTGGCAAGTGAAAAAATTGAACGGTAAGTAAATGAATGCTGTATAAAATGCTGACTGGTGCAATGTTGTGAAGAAATAGGATGCAAGTCCGTATAAAGAAATACTCAAAAGTGGAGGTTCCGATCATAGTGGTTTCGAAGTATCAAATTATTTGACTTGCGCACAATGAATAATTTGGCAGAGGAGAGAGCAACCGGATGGTAGGCTAACGTTTTCATGATTGCCTTTGATATAGCCTCAGCGCGCCTGCCTCCTCAATCGACCCCCAACAAAAAGTCCCTGTGATCCCAAAAACTTTTTCTGTTGAGCTCGGGGACTGTACGGACTGGCATGTGATTGCATATAAACCCTATATGTATGACGTAATAGCCCAAAGATTGAATCCTGTTATCGAGCCAATAGGTGACGCAAGTTTTATCATGCCATGATGTCCGTAAGCCAAACAGTATGTTCGAGCCTCAACCCACGTGTCGAATATTTAGGCAACATGGCAAGCCGATGATGGCTCATATGATAATTCTGTATTGGTGAGCCTGGTCTAGAGCCCAAGTTCAGCACAAAATTGTCGAATACTTGGCTTTCATCGCCAATGGTTAGGAGAGTATTTTGAAAATATTCTGGCCCAAATCAACACAGAAAAGATAATAACCAGTGGCAATATGATTCAACTGCATTTCCCTTAACTGCGGATCAGTATTATGAAATTTCCATCATGGACAAAAGCGCGGTGAGCCGGCTAGCTTCTAATGAGCCGAGAGTCAAGCTTGGAAGGGCGGGATACACTCGATCAGAACTGGCTGCATCACCGAGTAAGTCTAATTCAGCAACTTGCTAGCCGCTTAGTGGATTTGGTCCGCAGTACAGCACGGCCTCGGCCTTGTAAGTCATAAAAAGATTAAACCTCCGAGAAGAGACGTAAAACTCAGCTGGATATCAAGGAATCTAGAAAGCAAAGTCCGACAGCAGCGTCCAAGCTTATCAATGAGCGACCGCTCCAATTAAATCCCCCCTGCCGGATCCACAAGCGAGGCGTGCCTGGTCAACTACCTAGCTGAGGGAAACAAAAGGCTCAGGTCCAACAGCAACAGCTACCTATCGCGTTCTCCAACGAGATTCAGCTTTACGCCTCGATGACGCGACGCGTCGAGTCCCGATTTCCACCTCCCTTGTACCCCGACTGGTCGCAACTTCAGCACGAGCTGCAAAAGCCAGTTGCTGCTCAGGCTGAAGTTCGACATCGGTAATAATTCTTGCACTATACTGTACATATGAAACCTAAGCTATTTCCAATCACCTTGAAATTCATGTGGCATATGGAGCCTTTTCTATCCCCCCGGAAACCTAAGGATTTCAAGCTTCCTCTGATCTACAATTCGTCAACGTGATTACTGTTATATTGACTCAGCCATGCTAGGATGGAGCTTGGCTGGGTTTGTTCAAGCGCCGTCGGTTCAACGTTGATGGGTGTCCAAATCTCCGCTGGCTTTTTGAGGGCTAGCCGCCGTTAATTCACCGAGTCCTCACATCTCAATCTTTTAGTCTGTTCATGGTTCAACAGCTACATTTTCAATCACCCAAAGGATGTATCACTGCGGCCTTCGGTGATAAATGACTTCCAGGCTATTGACCAGGTTGAATCCATCAAAGGTGACATGAGAGTAGTCCTGCGAGTTTTGGTTATATCGGCTCGTGAAATAGGTGTTATTGACCGGTTGGGAGGGGGGAGCTGTACTTGTCCCTAAAGCCAAATTTTTATCGCATAATTAGGTGACTGCCAGGAGAAGACGTTAATAGGGCTGGGGGCACTCGGAGTTTCGTTTATGCTTCACACGAACAGGTAGACTATATCCAATTGGGGCAAACCCGACAACATAGCCTAAGGCAGGCGAGTTGCCGCTTAATTGTCCTTTTCCTTTTCCCTTTCACAAGAGGCAACCACTACGTCCCTCGGCGGCCCGGAGCCGATGCCATCACCACGGTTTCTGCTATCCTTGCGCACCATATCACAGATTCGAAGTCAAAACTATAGCTCGGAGGAACCACTGTTTGCTGTCAGATATCCGGTTTCGGAACAACATGCCCCAAGAAGGTCAGCAATAAGGAAAATTAAAGGAATCATAGTGTTTATATCCCTTTAAGCAACGTAGCACATGTGCTTGAAAAGGAGAAGGATCTGATCATAGTGTAGAGAACTGCACGGATTCCTACGATACAAACATCATGTCTCTGGTTGTATCACACAACCAAGTGCAATTTCCTAGGATAGTCAAGCTGGAAGACTATTTTCATACTAATGTACCCTACGTCGAAATATGATGTCAGCGTATATCATCAGCGGTGTAAAACCTACAATTGTTCGAGCAGGTTAATTTGTAAATGCGACGTATACCGAGCGAGTCGTCTATCGCATCAAAAGGATGCCTGGGACTAAGCTGGATCCACAACTTCACCCAGAAAGAGAAAATTCACAATTCCACAACAGCTGGTTAAGTGAGAGACGCAAATATATGTCTGACATTATAAGTCTCTAGAGCTAGAGTGGCTCTAGTTCCCCTGAGAAGGAGCAAGTTGCCAGGCCTCAATATCCTACCTCTTGGACCATACTGCCCCAGTCTACTAGCCATCCTAGCTCAAAAATTGATGGATCTTTTCGAGGCCCTGTTTCACTAGCCCTTTGCCCTGCGCCCCGAGCGGCTGTTCATGGTAGTCAACTTGGAAGTTCCCAATATGAGTGAACCTAACAATCGCAAAATGTCCGATTTGTCCTTCGCCGGAGCTGAAGTCGACCACGCCGGCATGTCTAGACAGAGACGCGAAGTCAACTATGAAACTGGCTGGGTATTTGGCCCGACTAATGTAGAACTTCATTTTGGGCTTGATGTGCGTTGTCGTTTGATTTGAGGCAAGCACCTGGAAAGCGCGATGCCTTAGCTCCTTCAGTAATATAGCTTGCAGATAGACCGTATGTTCTCTTACCGTAGCAACGGGGATTAAACGGCCGTGGCCATCCATCTTTGCCATACCAATAAGATATCTGTTATTAGAGCTTGGGAGGTCGTTTCCAGTGAATATTTCGAAAGTTGCAGGTGGAGCAGCGTGGGTATGATCTATCAAAGTCGCCGCATCATTTATTGTGGTCTTCATCTCAAAAGAGCCTGTGTGATAGAATGACATTAACAAAGTGCATTATTTAAAGAGGAACTCACTCCTTGCATGCAGCTAGGTGAACGTACTTCCTTTGCTCTTCTCTGTCCCGAGGGATGCTAGACGTCCGACTCCAGTAGGAATTTCTACCCCCGGTGAGGGGTTGCGAGGCACCGTTCCTGCCCCTATTAACTAGCTTTCAGCAAGATGTACTTTTCACTTTGAAAACTTGCACTACAGAGGCGGTCCCCGCTTGGATTTGCAGAGCGTACAAGCGAAAAACTGGACATCAGTTGTCACGTCCCAATTTCCACCGCTTGGAACAAGTATGCTGATCCAGCAACTTGAGAAAATGCCCTTTGGATTAGGTGTTTCAGGGGGATCCATAACGAAGGAAAAGAAATGGTCAGATGTATCCTCGTTAACGAGGCAGATATGATAGAGTGTCATGACGTAGGAATAATTTTACAATCTCAATTATGCGATGCGATGTTGAAAATTCGCTGAGTGTTTAAGATTTTGTTGGATTTATGATGGATGCCAGACCTAGAAGAGGAATCCAGCTTATATATGTTGCCAGCCACAAAGTTTGGCATGTACTACAAGAGCGCCGAGGGGCATTCGACCGACGACAGGACTAGTCGGTGGCTAGTCGGTGGTCTGGAATTTGGACGACATACAGTGGCGCCGCAAGAGTCTGGGACTACCCCTATTGACCGCCCCCAACCCCGCTTTCCGCTTTCATGCGTAGCTTCCTCCGATAGTTGGTCTCGTTATTTATTTGTTTGGTCTACCGCGTCTTTTCTGGGTTGCCAAGTGTAGCATGTGACAGTCATGACGTCAGTGGTAATACAAATGGTTACCATAAAGCGCTACCCTTTGCTATATCATGTACTTAATGTGTTCCTATCTCAAAATATCCCAGCAAGCCCCAAAATCAGCCTATCGCTATTTCACCCTTTGTGTTGGCTGCGTCGAGCCCTTCTCCAAAAAGTTGGTGCTCACGAAACCACGACAACCGTGTTAGAAGGTATCATTACAATGGAACGAATTACTTTTTGGTAACGCGATAACCAACATATACCCAGCAAGAACAAGATACGCCCCAGCGGTGCCAAGTCCAACTGGACTGAACTGCCCATTGCTGACGGCAGAGAAGAGGAGTGCAGATATGAGCAGTCTTAGGAACGTGATTTAACATAATAAGTAATTAGACTGGTCTTGTATGTTGGGTGGTGCTTTTACCCTTCGAAGAAATTCCAGCATTTATTGTCAAGGTGATCATTAGATCAACATTTTTCCGCATCTATCAAAGTAAACGATTACTGACGTCCCGGTCTACTGCGACTCCTAGATTATACTGAGGTATGGCGGTATTTTCGAATAAGGAGAAAGCTTTCGAGTAAATATGCCACTCTGCAGGGAGCGGGCATTTCGCATTCTCCATTCAAATAGCTCATTGGACGGTGCCTCTTTGAACAGGATAGTGCATTATACCAACTAATTGAAAAGCAATTATATCTAAGTATCATTTTCCTATTATCCTTTGTCACTATACGTATATTCAAAGAGACTCGGCGAAGCATTTACTAGCGTGTTGAGCCTATTGGGAGGAGCTCAGGGAAGAAGAAGGGTAACTCAGACAACGTCTATCGGGCTAAATCGGTGGACGCTGTGTTTGATTCAGTGGAGGCCACTCAGCGGTTTCGCAGCGGCGCGCCCTAAGATCGGCCAAATAACGAAAATAACAACTAGGCCAGGATAGGCCTTAGTGAATCTCTAAATTCATTCCAGGAAACGGTACGGTCTTCATGTTCGCGCACTGATACACATAGTTGTGGTAGCCTGCATATCGCTTCGGCAGTTCATTATAGAATACCTTAAATGAGTACAGATTCCTATTTTGGTTTAGTGATATAATCAGCTTCGGCGAGGGGTCGGGGAATGAATTCACATACACACAGAAGCTATCATGAAAACAATTAAGCATCGCTCTTGGGCGGGAATTCTCAATACATGTTTAGCGCCAATTAACAATTTATTTTGACTATTCATCTCGGTTTCATTTGGCTATAGACAAGAATTACCATCAATTGAATGGAAATAGAAGATTACTAATATGAGGATGGGGAGAATAGAATGAAAACGACCAGAATCGGACAGCATAATGATGTCACAGTCCAAGAATGAAAGCGATTGGAGGCTGAGGACACGCGGTAGTCAAGCATATTCACCTCCAAAAAGTATTATAGCTATACCGACCGAGTCTTTTCAGTTAGTTTCGCAGAGTGCTGAGTCGTGTCCAAGGGGGTGACCTATCAATTCCTTGGCGTACTTTTGTGATGAGACTGAAATATTGGGAATGGGTTTAAGATACCACCTTGATAATATGATAGAATACCGTGATGTTCATTGGCAAAAATTAATTCCTGATACTCTTGGAAGGAGCCACGAAGAAGTACAGTGGTGCTTAGTATGTCTTTTCCGAATAGTACGAGGCTAGTGGTATCTTGCTGAGTATGTGTTGGTAAGCAAGGGCTACCTTCTACTTGAGGTATGATACGTGTCAAGAGCACATTTGTGTAACAGCACGGAACTTCTACGATTTAAACGGTAGGTATTTGCAATTTACCTCTAACGGTCGAAATGTAAGAGCTTTGCTAGAGTGATGTGATACACTGTCGCCGGAGTTAAAGAGCCTGCCCCAATCTTCGATAGTTGCTAGGGTCCTTCCAGTCTTTTTACTAAACACGATATGAAGTTATCTGTAGCATGACTACCCGCACTTCTTCCGCTACAATAATATTACTCTGCCTTTATAAGTTGCCGATATGCAGATGTCGAGGGATGGAGCGGTAATTTACCGCTAAAAGGGGTCCATACAGAGTGACCCACTTTCCTCTGTATTCTATCGAAATCATGTATCTCAGCGACAGCGACTTAGGCGAAGACTTCCGAGCCGAGCTCGAAGCTCTTCCCAGAATGTTGACGCGTGACCTCTCCGCTATGGTTAGCGATGAGGGCTGGCGGCTCCCCGGATAGTCTAGTAAGCCGTTCTCCATCCTCTTCTCGTCTTTCCGCGAAGTCATCTTCATCGATGCCGACTTATTGTTCTTCGTCAACCCCGAGGTGCTCTGCAATGATGAGGACTATGCGTGCATAGGCGCCCATTGAAAGATAGGATGATCATGCCCGAGGAAAAGCAAGCTGTAGCAGATCTTGCTAAAGCCAATTTCGAACCTAGTATAGTAGAGTAGGATGTGGACGGGGGAGAGCGGACACGTATAAGATTCTGGTGTTGTAGTTGTGGATAAGCGGACACAATTATAGTGTGGAGATTGAATGGGCCCGACAGGCATAGAGATAAGATGGCGGGAATTATGGGGACCTACGATAAGGTCAATAGGTTATTTCCCTGCTCCCTTTACCTAACGTTATCCGGTGTTTATTACTAATATCCACGAATCAGGAGATAGTTAAAGAAACCTTCTGAATCAGCTAGGAGCCCGCCGGTGATGACCTCTTATGCTTTTCACCCCGGTGTAACCGGTATAATAGGCGTAGTTCGAGATCGCGATAATATCAATCCAACCAACAACCTACTATGCAGGGACAAAACGGACGTTCGGAGAGCTTGACGTCTTTCCGGAGGAGCCGAAGGTCTTTTTGGACCCAGGGGCGTGGCAGTTAGAGACGAACAATATATGTTGCTTGCCAAATGCGGCAACACGGAAGTTTACCAAAGAGGAGACGGAATGATTTGGGGAGTTGATTAAGATGGCAAAGTCATACCTTAAGATGTAATAGATTTGGGAAACGTCTTGTATCAAGACAAAGAAGGGCAATAAGACCGCTAGACCAAAAATGTTTCATGGGCCCGATTTCCGTCATCTATTGCTCTGAAATCTTAGACTGCTTTGACGAATCGAGTGAGTTTGCAAAGGAATGAGTGTGATTCTAAGATACTCAGCAAGTTCTGACCTTGATCAGAACTCGTACGGAATGCCTTCTCCTGGAGGCTGTGTATGTCGGTCAGATATGTTTTTTATATGGGTGGACTTAAATTGTAAAACCGAGATGTTTCCGTGCCTGGAAAGACTCATCCCTTCCAGATCAGCACAAGAAATGGTGGCTTGTCAGGCCAGCTTTGAGGCCACGTAACGAGCCCCGCAATCTGCGCTTTCGTATGAACATGTTCAAGGACTGGTCGACATCCAGATTTAGCGTCGAGAAAGAGGTTACAAGAGAAGAATTCTCCTGGATCTCTGCGACAGGGCGCTGCCTTAAGCCCCGAATTTCTCTGGGTGCCGATGTTTCTGTTGATATGAAGATTAATGCTCTGCTCAGGATGCCAGTTAACCGCTAACAGGTGAATTTACTCATCATCATAAGGGCATAGTTGTAATATGTTACTAGGATTTACTTCTGAGGACATCGAGTCAACATTCTAGTAGTTAACTGAACTATGTTCCGACGTAGACCTCAGAACAAGTCGTGATTTTCTAGTTCCGGTCCAGGTTGAGAACCGCCAAGACCGGTTTCGGTTCCAACTCTTTTGAGGCCGAGATCCGGTTCCAACTTCTGTAGTAAGTTGTCGGACCTCTACCGGACCTGGAGGTTCGGTTTGAACCTGCAGGTTCCTCAACCAGTGCAAACTTGGGGAAGCTCGTGGTATGCATTGATTGTGCAGTTTTGCTCTGTATTTTTGAGTATTCATCTTACGTTAATTAAGAATAGCATCGATAGAATAGAGATCAATAGTTATAACTAGTCTACAGTGAGTGTTTAATGAGGGGACTTAGAATGTGTTGAGTTTCAGCAGTCTTCAATGCCGCTAAGGCTTTGATAGCTATCTGGCTATCCCTGAAATGCACTAAACCCTATATGGTAAAGTGGACAGTTTTTGAGGAGTAAGTGTATACACTCATCAAGGCACGTTTCCCCGACCGTCCGCCGGGCACCGTGAAGGGCCAAGGAAGGGGTTATGCAAATGCAGGCCT